TATATATATATTAGACTTTATGGTCCTTGAAAGCAAGTTTTAATCTCTGATGTACTGATGTATATTCCTGTAACATTGCATTTTTATCTGAGGAATGATGTTATTAAAGAAATTGCAAATAAATTGAATTTTCTATAGTTTTTCTCTCAATGTTAGAGTTTTCATTTCCTCTCTGTGTGGATTCATTTCTGTTCCTGAGAAGTTTTAACTGCAGTTTCACAGGTAAACACGTAAATATAGACATAGCTATAATTTTTTGGGCTGTCATCTTGAGATCATGACTTGTTTTTTCCTGTGATATGAAAATAACAAATGTTGTTTTCTCAAGATACACAACTTATTAGTGTCGTGATATCAAGATAAAAGTTTTCTCGAGATATCTTGATAATCCTGAGATCACAAGAAAAGTTGGGATATCGAGAAAACAACTTTTGTGATCTTGAGATCACCAGACAATTAAATTTCAAGGTCGCAAGATAAAATTCCAGAAAATTATAACCATCTCATGGCCTCTCTGGACGTCCATACCTTCCTGATGTGAAGTCCTAATTCTCAGTTGATCAACCAGATCAGTAATTCAGATTGGATTGACCATTTTAGAGTTAACCACCCAGTTCCTGTCCTTCATTATACACTATGGACAAAAGAATTGGGACACCTCCACATCACACCTACAGGAGCTTTTATGGCATTCCATTCTAAATCCATAGGCATTAATATGGAGTTTGCAGCTATAAGAGCTTCCACTCTTCCAGGAAGCTTCTACAAGATGTTGGAGAGAGTCTGTGGGAATTTCTGCCCATTCATCCAGAAGAGCATTTGTGAGGTCGGACACTGATGTTGAACGAGAGGGTCTGGCTCACAATCTCCTTTCTAGTTCATCCCAAAGGTGTTGGATGGGGTTGAGGTCAGGGCTCTGTGAGGGTCAGTCAAGTTCTTCCACTCCAAACTCACCCAGTCAGGCCTTTATGGAGCTGCTCTGTGCACTGGGGCTCAGTCATGCTGGAACAGAAAAGGTTCTTCTCCAAACTGTTCCCACAAAGCATTAAGATTTCCCTTCACTGGAACTAAGGGTTCTAGACCCACCCCTGAAAAACAGCCCCATATCTTCATCCCTCCTCCACCAAACTTTACAGCTGGCACAGTGCAGTCAGGCAGGTAACGTTCTCCAAACCCAGACTCGTCCATCAGACTGACAGATAGAGAAGCGTGATTGGTCACTTCACAGAATACATTTCCACTGCTCCAGAGTCCAGTGGTGGCGCTTTACTCCACTCCATCTGACGCTTGTCATTGTACTTGGTGATGTAAGGCTTCATGCAGCTGTTTAGCCATGGAAACCCTGCCATGAAGCTCCCGGCCCAGTTTCTGTGCTGATGTTGAAGCCAGAGGAGGTTTGAACTGCAGTTATTGATCAGCAGAGCGTTGGTGACTTTTATGCTCTGTGCTCCTCAGAACTCGGAGACCCGCTCTGTAACTTTACGTGGTCTGAGTTGCTGTGGTTCCTAAACACTTCCACTTTTTAATAAAACCACTCGTGGATTTATTGAATTTATTTATGATCATGGAAAATCTAGGAGGGAAGAAATTTCACAAACTGACTTGTTGCTACGGTGGCATCTATTATAAACCCACACTCGAATTCAGCGAGCTCTTTAGAACGAGTCATTCTTTCACTAATGTGTGTAAAGGCAGGCTGCATGGCTAGGTGCTTGATTTTATACACCTGTGGCAATGAGACTGAATAAAACCTGAAATTGATTATGCAAAAAAAAGGTGTGTCCCAGTACTTTCATCTATATAGTGTACCTTCAATGGGTGAAAAATGGTGGCAACAACTTTGTTAGGATCAGTGTGTTTCATCTAAATATGAATTTTATTTTCCTTTGAACTGCATATTGCCTGCCAATTAACACTAATTTGATGTTTGAGGACACTTATAAAGAGGATTATTGGGGCAGGAGTGACAAAATATCCATTTCCAAACTGCCAAAACACAAGTTTAACCAAATATCCTCTGAGAGTGTTTATGCATCTTTAGTTCAGTTGAGCACTGATGTACAGTACTGTGCAAAAGCCGGACCCCCTTCAGTTAATTTGCAGTCAAAATGGCCATTAACTCCAGTATCAGAAAACATATATTTAACACAGAAGCGATAACAGCTAAATCTACTCTCAGATGTGTGAGTGGTCAGTGTTTAGTGAGTCACTCTTTCCCTTTATTCCAGCTTCCATTCTGTTCAGGAGACTCACTTTCAGCTCCTCAAAGAATCTGCAGACACACCTCCAAAGTTCAGTCTTAGAAGCTGGTTGATCATTTTCTGAAGTAATCAAACACATTCAGTGGTGTTGAAGTCTGGACTCTGGGGTGGTCAGTCCATTGTTCAGCTTCTTTGTTTGATGTGTCCGTCTCCTTTTCTCAGTGAGGTTCTTCTTGACAGCTGCACATCCTTTCAGACCCACAGCGCTGAGTCGTCTTCTCACAGTGGAAGGATGGACAGAAACACCTGTGGATGTTTTCAGATCTGAAGCAGCTTGATTTTCTCCTCTCTCTCAGAGATGAAAGCTTTTAGTGCTGTTTATCTGATGGGGGCAGTTTTGGGGTCGACCAGCTCTTCCAGGTGGTTGTTAGGAGCCCCGTTTTCTCTGTAGCTTTTAATCAGTTCTTGATAGATGTATTTTGTATCTAACTGCCTCAGAAATATCTCCTGAAAACTGAATAACTTGTATTTAATGGCTGTTTTGACTGGAAATTGCTTTTATTTTTCTGCTGCCAGTTGAGTTTTTTAATTCTTATCATTGTAAAATGAAACTGTCCATAAATATAGTTTAATAAAATTAACATATTTGTCATATAATTAATGCATATTTTAATTTACCATTGTGCTAGGAACACTACCACACACTAGTCACATCAGCGTTCACACAGTGTGCAGAAAAAGGGTTTAGATGAGGCAGAGTTGCCAGTCTGGGAGTGATCAGCTTGTGTTCAGGGTTAAAGTTGCTCTAAAAAGCATGAAGTGACTTTAATTTGATTTTAAAACATCAAATTTTTACATTTATACACTGGAGCATGTTTACATGTACATTTTCTCAGATCTGATTCAAGAGCTTGATTTTCTCCTCTCTCGCTTTAAGTGCTGTTTATCTGACGGGGCAGTTTTGGTGTCTACCAGGTCTTCTAGGTGGTTGTTAGGATCCACAGCTGTAGCTTTTACTCGTTTTTACTTCTAGCTACTTTAGTTTTCCAGTTAGAAATTTCACCCATGACTGCATTTTCAAAGTCCCATTTGGTGGGGAAACCATGAACCCCACAGAGATGATATAAGTCCTATGAAAGCCCATTCCAGGGGAGTCTCACAGATTTTTTCCTGTACCTGGTGGGAATGAGCTGCCATAGAATCCATAACTTTTCAGTGATGTTTTGGTTAAAGGGGGGGTGTGGCTGTACGGTGGAGACACATAGCCACGCCTCCAAGAAACAAACTGGGAGATGAGGTAATCAATATATTTTAGTGTCTGGAATAAAACTCAGTATTTCTAATTATATCACAAAATGTCTTTAGGCTTTATTTGTTTCTGAATGTTTGTTTAGGGAAGGTGACGACTGATCTGAATACCGTATTAGAAAGTGAAAAAGTAACAGGAACTGCTGAATTTGGGAAGACCTTCTTTTTTTAATGTGTGTTCATCCGAAGACCGGTACTGTCAAGAGTGCGACAGTGATAGTTTATATATTTGTTATACAGTCATATTTATTAATAGATTCAGCAACTTCTATTCGTAAAGTGTGTCAAAGGATTTCAGTTCAGAGAAATGCAACAGAATGATTAGACATTACGATACAAATTTAAGAGTTTAGAAAAACCGTGAGGATCTTTATAAGACTCTGTTCTAGATAGTATTTCTCAAAACAAGATTTCTCAGTTTAGCCAGATGATAGGAAAAGAGTTGAGCGACATTCCTATTGGACAGTCCTCATCTTTCGGCTTATCTGGGTAACTGAGAGTTCCTGCTTTGTGAAATACACTCCTGGTTTAGTTTCAAGATGCTGATTCTCTGCAATTTCTCACCCTTATGGTTTACCAAGGATGTTTATTTCCAGGTGCCAAAGGATGTTTATTTCTTCTTTATCTTGCCAGATGAGCAAAACCTTGTATCTCCATTTTTATCATTTTTCAGTTTCTGACATAATTTGAAAACACCTGTTGCTTTACATTGTGTGTAAATTTCATGATGAATGGACCAAAAGAAACAGCCCAAAATGACTTGGAAGAAAGTCTGGTTCCATTGACTTACATTAAAAGTAATGTATGTTTTTTCCTTCTCCTGTAAAGTTACCATTTTAGAGATACAAGGTTTTGTTCTGACAGCAGCGATATACAAATATTATTAATACAATAAGCAGTGATTTTATGTCTGTAAAACCTCTCCTCAGTATCCACAGTCATCATCCAATACCTGCTTTATCTAATCAACACTTCATTATGTTAAATAAAGAGTGTTAGTGATGGAACTTAATAAATCCGTGTAATGGCTTGAGGCATCCAGGAGGAACTTTGTTCTTCCACCAGGATAAATGTTTCAAAATAGGAATTTCTAGTTACTTTTAACTGTATTTATGTTCATTTGTCTTTATTCTAATGAATTTGAATAAGTTCCACTATGTTTAACTGACAAAAAGGCAAGAATATTAGCACTTCTTGATCCTCACCAGTATAAATTTGGGCAACTGGAACCCATTGTTGAGGTACAATTGTATTCCCAACTTCTGTTTCAGGGTCCCCACTTATCCACTTTTCAAACGTTTGACTGCTCTCGCATAGAGTGTTTCAGCCTCCAACACTGCATTACAGGCATGTGAAGTCCAGAGTGATTCAACAATCAAGATTATATTTGATGCTTAAACCAATTTGTATGTGTTGTTTAGGGACAGAATATTTTCATACACTCTGTCAAAACCTCATTACGAAGCTATAAATCAAACAAAAACATTGTAGTAGCTTGAATTAGGCTCACCTTTACTAGCAATCAGAAAGCAAAGCAATAAAATGATAAAACTTTTGACTGGTTTGGGTTGACTTCAAACCAAATTTACTTTGCTTTGCTTTGGCCATTATTCATTTAACTGAACTCTATGATTCCCATTTTCATTAAAAAACTCCCTTAAGATCATCTGCTTATGTAAAAGCATATCGTCACTGTCCAATTAAAAACATGTATCTCCATTTTTTGTGATTTTTACTTTTCTGCATCATTTGACTCAGCAGCTGTGAAAATTTCATGATTGAGCCAATAGAAATGGTCCAAAATTGCTTAGAATAAAAACCTTTTCTATTAACTTACATTGAAAGTAAAGAGGGTTTTTCCCCTCTTCTGTAAAGTTACTATTTCGGAGATACTTATTTTTCATTGGACAGTGACAATATATTAATTGTAATCAAGTTATAGTTATAGTCAAGTTTATGTAGATAGACAACCATAAAGAACTGAACTGGAGAAGCTCAAACTTTTTACCAAAAGTGCATAAAAAGGTCAACTGCTCAGTAAAGTAAGGTGTGACTATCCAGCAGTCTGAGCACGGTATAACAGCTGGATTGCTCACAAAATACACCCCATCAATTAAGGCCTTCTCAGACTTCAGCAACACAGATGTTTGTTCCTTATTGGTCCTTTCTCATTCCACAAACACTCAAGGAGAAACTCCTGACAGCGTCTGAAGTGGGACCTGGAATACGTCTTTGATGACAAGAGTCTGTCTGTTCCACTGGATGTATTTGAGTCAAATGCACAAATGAATTAGGGAATTGTAAGCAGTTGTTATGAAACCTCCATGGCTGCTGTACTGCTGGAAGTCCCCGACACCGTGTTGGCCACCAAACGCTCTCTACTGCCGAAAACCTCTGAAACTGGAGACAGAAAACAACAGAACTTCAGTCATCAGCAAACAAACTCAACAGCATCTGTGTTTACATGCAAAGATTTTTGCTAATCCGATTGAACAGATTCCGATTATAGATTAAGACTGAAGTGTTTATTCTCACTCTACTCATCAATCTGATGAAAATCTGTTTAAATGCTCACTACAAGTAATCTGATCCAAAATGATGCGCATGCATGGAAAACCCCTTAGCGTAGATGTTACTATGACAGCGACGTCACGTGCGTCCAGTCAGAGTGAGATGAGCAGCAGTGAGCAGTGCTTGTGTTTTTAACTACTTTAAAATGATGTCAGACTCAGGAAAACGTCCTTCACATGTCCTTATTAAAGAAGGCCGAGAGGAAGACGTCGTGTTCTGAGACGCATAAGCTGGACGTCCGTCCCACCGCCGTCTTTTAAAGATCAGAGCATAAACTTCGTCTCCTCTGCAGACCAGTTTCTGCTCCGCCATGTTGAACGGTATAAACTTTCACTGTGACGCGGCGAACACGATCAGAACGGACTTAAACTTTCTGATAGGGAATGTAATCAGATACAGGCGTTTACACGGATATTATTCTTCTATTTAAGGGATTATTTACAGGATTACCCACCTCGATCAGTCGGATAGAAACTGTATTCCGAATGGCCTCAGACTAGACTATTCTGACTGAAGTGTTTACATTGACGTATTTTATTCCAATTTAGCTATTAGTCGGATTATTAACGGATTATTGGGCAGCATGTAAACACGGCTAATAAGATACAACACAGAAACACAGTGACAGTTACTGCATCTTTACACTGGAAATTATGTACAATGCTGTGTAAAAGAAACTTTTCAAAACAAACATGCAAAACACACACAACCCCGTTTCCAAAAACGTTGGGACGCTGTGCAAAATGTAAATAAAAATAGAATGCAATCATTCGAAAATCTTTTAAACCCTATTTTTAAACTGAAAATAGACAACATATCAAATGTTGAAACTGAGAAAATTGGTTTTTGAAAAATATATACCATTTTTAATCTGATACCAGCAACAGCTTCCCAACTTTTTTGGAAAGGAGTTGTATCTTAGGGTTTCTACTAGCTGGCAAATACCAGCATTTGACTGGTAAAAACTCTGCAAGGCCGGTAAATTAAAAACACATCAGACGCAAAATTCTGCTGAAAGTTTGGCACAACACAGAACTCAAGCTTAAATAAAGCGCATGTTTGGTTTCAGCTTTATCTCCTCAAAATTCAACGATGATTTACTAATTCTACCAAACATGCATGTTTTTTCTGATAAATGTAGGTGTGGCATGCGCCCGTCCCCCGGGCCCCGACGATGACGGCCGCGAGAGCCGGCAGGAAGGCGGGGCCCGAACAACCAGCAGCGACGAACCTCGGCCAGGACGGCAGGGAGAGAGCCGCGAGTGGGGAGGGGGCGGAGCACAAAGCCCGAGCTCCTCCACATAACCCGAGTGACGGCGGGAGGAGGAGGAAGACGACGACGGTGCCGGCAACGAGAGGCACCAGGGCAAGGAGCGAGTCCCGAGCTCCGCCGCCTGGGCCCCGCCCCCTGTTACAGGCGAGGCCGCTCCCTTACACCTCACTTTCGACCCGGGCGGCTGAGCTGCCAGCTGGGGGCGGTGACAAGGAGGCGGAGCTCGGGACTCGCTCCTTGCCCTGGTGCCTCTCGTTGCCGGCACTGTCGTCGTCTTCCTCCTCCTCCCGCCGTCACTCGCATCACTCGGGTTATTCGGAGGAGCTCGGGCTTTGCGCTCCGCCCCCTCCCCACTCGCGGCTCTCTCCCTGCCGTCGCGGCCGAGGTTCGTCGCCGCTGGGTGTTCGGGCCCTGCCTTCCTGCCGGCTCTCGCGGCAGTCATCGTCGGGGGCTCAGGGGGTGGGCGCATGCCACAGTAGGCATATGCTAAAAGAAATAATGTTATTTTTAAGTATTTAATTGTAGCCAATTAACTTGACTATGCTAGTAAAAAGTCACATCAAGTTAGCTTGCATGCCTCCTGTCAAACGCTCATCAAGAGCAATGCTGAAATAGCCGCCATTCCAGAAAATATGTTTTCTTTAGTAGAGGCTTATTTAGGTCTGTTGAAGAACATGCAGTATGTAGTGTTTGGATTAGGCCGTCACGTCACGTGAGAACACAGTGTAGGTTCTGTGCAACGTTTTCACAAATAACGACTGGACTTTTACTCATTCTGTCCAGCAAACTGAATCATTTCCAGACACTGTGACCAGAACCAAAACTTCCAAGCAGAACCTCTGAGACATACATGCACAAACACTGAGCAGAAGATCAGTAACATGTTTCATACCAGCAGCTACATCACTAATGTCCCACACACGCAGTCCATCCTTCTGTCCTCCAAATGCATACACGAACGGCAAGTCGGGGCAGCAGGCCGCACAGAACATCACGCCCTGATGGAGAAAAAGCATATACATTTTATAGCTATAAATTATTATATTATTATTATGTTATCATTATATTATAGCCATGAAATGTTTTCCTAAAACTGGACACTTCATCAGTGCTCAGACTCCCCCAGAGAGCCGTTAAAAAATGTGGAACCAAAAAAGCTAATGTGACTAACAATGGCTGACAGTCGTCACCTCTCAGAAAGCCATTTCAGTAATTATTACTAGGTAATGGCTTTTAATCATTATTAGCTTCTTTAACCGTAGGGCAGTGCTCATAAGGCTACATGAAACCTACATGAACAGTTCACGGCAAATGACATAGTCCAGAAGCTGTACGCAAAAATTTACTGGTGCTATAAAAGCTACAAGTGTTGTAGCACAAATGAACTTTCTTAGCATTAAGATTAAATTACACAGAAAGCTAAAAATTGTAATTTTAACTACAAAAAACATAAGTGGCATGTAAATCGTTTGTATTTTAATAATATTTTTTTTTAATTACTCTACATTAATTCAGATTCCCAAAAGGAGGTTTCTTTGCATACTTTGTTAGCCCACTTTCACCCTGTTCTTCAATCATACCAGCGCAACACACACCAACACACCACCACCACGTCAGTGTCACTGCAGTGCTGAGAATGATCCACCACCCAAACAGTACCTGCTCTGTGAGGGTCCATGGGGGTCCTGACCACTGAAGAACAGGGCAACAAAGTATGCAGAGAAACAGATGGACTACAGTCTGTAACTGTAGAGCTACAGAGTGAAACTATATGGTCAGTGGAGCTGATAAAATGGACAGCCAATGGTGGTTTTAATGTCATGGCTGATCAGTGTGCACTGAGCTACAAAGTCAACTGTTATAACATGTTATGTCATTTCACAAAAAAAAACGGACACCTGACACACGCGTTATGTAACCTTGACATTAAAGTTGACTAAAGCAGCCTTTATGACAAACGGCTACTGGAACAGGCTTTTATAAATGCTCATGTAGGTCTTGTTTATGTTGGTGTCATGTAGCCTTATAAACACTGCCCTACAATAAAGTGTCGCCATATAATCTGACTGAGACTTGATTCTAGATCTGATATGACTAAAGGTGGGGAAGCTGTCGTGCAGATGTACCATTTTCATATCTCTGGAGTGAATTAGGCTGGGCTTGTTGCCCAGGATGTCCCAGATCTTCACGTGTTTGTCAGCCGAGGACGTGACCAGACAGCCGCTGACCTGACTGCTCAGGTCCAAACCTGCAAGAGAGAACAGCAGATCACAGAACTTTAAAGAGAACACTCCATCACCTTAATAAGAGACAGACCAGAGACAGAAGCAGGATAAACTCAGTGACAGTGGATCAAATTAGCTAAGCAGAGAATGATGGGAGGTGAATATCGTAATCATGTATTCGCTGCACTTTTTTCTGAATTAATACTTCTGGCATAACAGCATTAATATATTTTTATTTTGTATTAACTATTTACATTCTAATTATTTTTTACAATACTGAACTAAAATAAAGAGCAAAAGTGTAATTAAAACACTGAAACCCTTGAAAAAGGTCTGTATATTAGTATACAAAAAAAAAAGAAAGAAAAAAAAAACAAAAATCCTCTTCCCTCAAAGGTCAGCAGGGTGTAAGAAGCACAAAGAAAGCAGGTTTAATGTGATAAAAAGAACCATCACACGTCATCTTTTACATTTCAGGAAGCCTCACATATTAAACATCAGATAATTAGATGTTTATTACAGTGAGGTTCACAAGTTTATATGTGTAATAATAATAATAATAATAATAATGATAATTTATAGAGCTGTTTCATAATGGTTGCAACCCAAAGTGCTTTACAGACAGGTCATAAAGTTTAACATTAATAAAAGAAATGAAGAGTTTGAGTTTGATTTCCTTCTATCCTTGTTACTATTCAGTAATAAAAAACATAGCATAATATTATAAAATGTTTGAAAATTAATTACATCTGTAAACACTACTATTCAATTAAAAAAGTTTCAAAAAATTTCAAAACTTCAGTTTTACATCCAATGTTAAAACAAATGACCATGACGAAAATCACATTTTATTTTAAATGGAAATATTAGGTGTGAAATGTAAACGCACCAGCCTTAGTTATTAGCTAGCAGTTATTATGAGTAATTAATTATAATAACACTCTTTTATAGTGTCACTATTCTAGAGTGCTTAGATTAGTTGATTTTTTATTGATTTTTCTTTTTTATTCTGAAGATAAAAGTGTTTGATTGTTATTCTTTAACAGGTTTAAGTCTGACTGTTGATTGTTGGGGAAACTTGAAGGTTTTGTTTACTCTTTTCAACATGAACCATATTAAATTGTTGTTCTTCATCATTTATAACTGTGCAGATTCACACTGGGGGTCCTGGGACTCACTTATACACACAAAAGAATACAGCGCTTAAAAGCCCCCCAGGACTATTTATTCACAATTCCTGATTTATTTTTTTTTTGTAAGCATTAATAAATGTAAACATGAAACATTTTCGACAATCTTATTTATACATATTTACTGTAATTAACTAAATTGTAATTGACTAAAAAGCAAAAATGTCTGTTGTACTCTATTGTGACACTTGGATGCAAAAGTTCCCCAGTCAAATGACGTTTTGTTGATTTTCTAAGTGTAAATAAAGAACACATCCTCTACAGAGACACACAGCTGCACATTTTAATACACAATTACTGTTTATTTAGTGAATTTAACAAATTGGAAAAAAATCTTGTCTGTGCAAAAGTTATGGCACATTTTATGTTTTATATGTTAAAACAAATAAAAATTATGCATTTAAATCTGCAGAACAATGTCATATTTAAGTGTATTCTCTGTATAGGATGTGTTCACTTATTTTCACTTTTCTTATTTTCTTAGAAAATTAGCAAAATGATTAATAATTGGACCGGGGATGCTGAAGCTTCTGCATACTACTGTTGGTGCGACTATACTGTGAATTTCCCACTTTCAAAAAATTTCTGAAGGCTTAGAAAAAAGTAGATTCTACTTTTAAAATTTTTAAAATCTCAGAATCACTACATAATATTTTATTATTTGCAATCTGATGCCTTTATCAGTTTCTCAGTGATAACTCTTTTATTCAGGCTTCAACAAATACATATAATGAGCTGAAGAGGAAAAAAAAGGACACTAAATCTACTTTGAGGACTACAGCGAACTTCTGCCCCCCTCCTTCTCTGGGGTCCTACCTGACACTTCTCCGTCGTGTGCTCTCAGCGTAAACACCAGCTTGTCTGACCGGGCGTCCAGACAGTAAACGAAGCCATCCTCTGTACTTGCCTGAAATATAAAGACAGTGATCATTTACATGCACCGAAAGGCTAATATATAATATCTGAGACGAGCCTCTTTCACTTCACATTCGTTTATTTGCTAGGAAAAAAAAACGTAATTGCCACATTTGCCAACAACAATACTCACGAGGAAGTTGCAGGGAGAGAAGTGATTCCACACCAGACGCTCCACCTGACCGCTGAACCGCCAGATACGATGGCTGGATTCTGGACTCCGGCAGTCGTACAGGATAGCGGACCTGGAAAGCACATGCAGTAACAAAGACAGACCTCATTACAGCTTTGATTAAGATAAAACCATGAAGAGACACAGAATGATGAGCCAGTTATAGGAATTCACTGGTTTGCATACTTATCATAGGATCCAGTGACGAGTGTCTGGGCCTCAAACGGGTGAAACTTCAGAGTTTGAACCTGAAACAACAGAAATTCAGGATCTGGATCGTTTTAAACACAGTTAGAGTTACAGTCACAATTCTATTTACACCAATATGTGGCACTTGTAACCAGCGTATAATATCTAAGAAGGACCCAATTAACCTTCAGCTTCCATGGCCCATTTAAAAACAATTCAAATTTATGCAAGTTAGCAATTAATTTTCTCATTAACACATTTTATTTGCACTTTTTGGTAAACTACATTAAGTTGTATCTCTATACATAGAAGGTGCTACATAAGCCTCTTCTGTACATTTCCATACAAACCTTATCTGTGTGCAGTCTTAATGTCGTTGCTGGTTTGCCTTGCACTAAATCCCAGAGAATCACAGTTTCATCAGCTGAAGCACTGCCCAACACATTCCTGAGCAAAGCAAAAATCAATCAATCAATAAATCAATCAGTCCTTATTTAAGCTTGGAGTACATTGAGGGAGACCCTCATTTAATATGTTTCTAGTATGTTTTCATATACACATTGTCTTTATCTTTACGTCACTGGCCTTATTTACCTTCATTTTCTTTTTAATATATGTCCTTGCTGTCAGTTCTAGAGCTGCTAAATTACAATAAAGCTCTATCCATCTACAACGTCGTCGAGCCAATAAAGAAATCAGGGATTGAGAATTTAATTAGTGAAAACATATCAAATGCTAAAAAATGTAATAATAATCATTTGTAAATTTAAAAATTAATCAATAAAGCATTAAAATTACAACAATATATGGGCTTAATAAATAAGATAAAATAAGGATAAATAAAAATATAATTATTGACACATTATTAATGAAAATCATGTCATTAGATAAACAGAGCTGCATCATTTGTGCAAATGCCCTAAATTAAAAGTTTATTAAACACCAGTTTGGCTCACCTGACCAACTTATTCCATGACAGATCCAACACAGCATCAGTGTGCCCCTCGACACGCTCAGCAGCCTAACAGAAAAACAGACGTTATGAAAAACACAGAACACTTGGAGATGTGTGAACTAGCTGACTGACGCATTCAGTGGTCAGCACCGTGGACAGCTGTCAAACAGTCACGATGTCTCAAAATTGTAGTACTGAAAGGTCCAGATAAATGTTTTATATATGCTTTTCGATGCTCAATGTTGCCTAGCACCACCTACTTTGACAGGAAGGGGCCGTTTGACAGACATGAAAACACAACCAACCACAAAACCAATATTTTTGTGTGTTGTAGGGACACAGAGATTGTCCAAACAGTACTACAACAAAAACAGACCCAAAGGAATAAAAGCAGTATGCCTGTCAACCAACACCCCCATTTACAAGCTTTTAAATGCTTCAAATAAACATCCTGAATAATTAAATAGGCAGGAATCAGTAAAGTTCTCTCAATCCAGCGACTCAATGTGATGATATGCAGAGTAGGCAAACTGCCACTGGTGACCAGCTGACATTTAGTGTGAAAAAATAAAGTTTGTCTCCAGTCTGACTGATAAAAACAGAAGCATACAGCTGAAACTTTCACTGTCCCAGTCCAGACTTTCACCTCCATTTTTCTCCTTTATAAAACCGTAACTTAAAACTCTTCCTGCTTTACATTGCTGCTATGTTACTCCTACATTTGACCAAAATGTCGTGTGCCATTTGGCACAAATAGGAACTGTGAAGCTGAAACCTTCTTGCTTTTCTTGGTCTTCTTGGCTTTCTTGCTGCCCAGTGAAAACACAGGCTCGAGGCAGTCCACCACATCCAGGTCCCACACGTCAATAACAGGAGTCATGTTCCCTATGGCTGCATAGTTCCCTGTGAGAAAGAACACGGTAGATTACAAAGCATCAGAAAATCCCTGCGAAGAGGACAGTTTTAAATATTTCAGCAGAACTTTAGAACATGGAAAAGGAATTATTCTATCACACTATACATGGTGTTACTGAATAACCTTATACTGCCACACTCAGGGCAGAAACAGCAAACTTCTCAGTAATTAACAACTTTAAACTTGTATGTTTTTTTTTTTAAAGCTAACCGTACAGAGCAAACAATGCAGAGGTAGGAGGACAAATGTCATGTTGACATTCATTTTTATCATAAGAATATAATTCAAGTCTTATTAAGTATGCAGTTATTATATGAGGTATTTTACTGTTAACACTGTTCATTTACAAACTGCTTACTCCCTAAAAACCAACCCAGGACCTCACAGCTGTGTTGACCATGGAATGCAGTTTATGTATTATGCAAAAGTTTGAACAACCCCAATCAAATTATGTATTGTTGACTTTCTAAGTGAAAATAACACACAGGGAAACGAACACAGTATAAAATGTGCGACTGTTTTATTTTACCCTTTATGTTAAATTGAATAAATAAACACTAATTGTGCATCAAAATGTGTAAAAGTGAGAAGATGTGTGTTAAAATCAACAACATGTCATTAGACCTGGGGTGCCAAAACTTTTGCATACGACTATAAAGAGACAGCTAGTGTGTTTACCTGCTCCTTCTTCGGGGCTGGGGTCAAAGTTCAGCCACTCTATGCTCAGGGGGTAAGCAGGGAGGAGGATGTCGTGGTGGACGTACAGAGAGTCCTCTTCAGGGTTATACACTGAGAGTATATACAGAGATATTCCATAATTACTACCAATTCAACACCACATAGATGTTACAGTGAAAGAAAACACCTCACAGTAATGAGCAATGACCACACACACGTCACTGACCGTAAACCTCCAGGTTGCAGCAGTCCTTCTCTGCCCTGCCTGCCAGAATGAGGTTGTCTGTAGGTTTAATCTGGAAATCCTCTCTTTCATACTGTTCCTAAAACACAGATTACACAGAGATAAACAAACCCCACTGAGTTTAACGTAGAGAACACACATGCAGGGAAAAGATGACAAACCTAAAACCAATTCCATTCAATTCAATTCCTGCACCTGTGTTAATGTGATGTGACAAACGTGATTTGAAATGTATTTATGAGCTTCTTCTGGTTGTGTCGTGCTTACATGCTAAAAGCGCTCCCTGCAGGAGAAACTTCAGACTGCAAGCAGTTTTCAAAGCCATGGCCGTGCACTTTTTCCACACTACATCAAAGCGTTTTCCGGCGATACAGTGAAGTTTTCATGACTCAACTAACTACCAGCACACAGTGTACAGAAAACACTGCAAATTCTACTCGTGTCACACGCATTTACTTTTAAAGGCCCCAGGACAACGCAACGTTCTAATGTTCTTACCTTTTTTCAGTAAAGGTGTAAACAGGGATCAAAAGAGCTTTCTCTCCAGGTTAGAGCTAACCTAGCTGCTCTAGAGTAAAATCCAATCACTTTAGCTCTTTTTTTTTGCAGTAAGTCACTCTGAGGGAAGCTTAAGTTAACATAAAATAAGAAGAGGAAGCCGTGCGGTAAAGCTAGCAGAACAGCGCGTAGCAGAGAGAACTCCTTAACAACCCTCCTTCACCACTACCACCCCCCCCAACCCACCGGGGTGTGCAACAGCACACTTCTTAAACGTTTCCCAGCATATTGTAGCGCTTTCAAAAACTGTTTACATGTTTATTCTGGATTATCTGTGCTGTCGCCGTTATTTTCTGGGTTTGTTTCTACAAAGACTCTTATTGCGAAGCCTTCTTTCGTTGTGTTGATGCTTAGTTCAGGAAGAAAGCATCTGTTTTATCAGTGGCGGCCAGACATCTTGAAAAGAGAAGAATTTTCATTCTGTAATGTCTTTCGGGTTTCCGAAACACTACAGGGCCCTCCTGAGCGAGTCCAAAACGAATGGGTTAATGTGGAGCATTTGAGCAAAATCATAGTTCATAATAAATGTGCTGTATAGCATTTTTATATATAATTAGCCTCAGAGAGATGCAAAATTTTGCAGCATGAAATGCATATTTATTAAGCATAAAGAAAAAGTGGCAAAATTGCACACAACTGTTTAATTACTTAATAATTGCAGGCTTATAAACTTGGAAAGTCACTATAATCGGAGTGGACACAGCTCGTGCGCGTGTTGTTCACAGGCGTGCAAAAACTGTGTTGTTTGTCTTACTGTGTCTTTAATGGTGACATAAGGATCTTCTTCATTAGTGCCGAACACCGTCAAACCCGCCAAACTGTCTCCGAGGTTGGCCGTCGCTAGATCACAAATAGGACAGATAACCACAAAGTCAAAATGTGACCAAATTTCCTGAGCAGCTATAAGAATTCAATGGTAAACAGGAATTTTTGCCCAATTACAACGAAAATAATAATAATAATAATAATAATGACGATGTCTTACCTATGTCCTGCTCATCATACTTGTCCAGGTCATACTCAGCAAGTTCATCTTCTTCCTCTTGCTTTGCATCATCATCACCTTTCACTTCTGCAGGAGCTTCAGTCGTCTCGTCCGGCTCGTTCGCCATGCTCTCCTCATCCTCATCACTTTCCCTGGACAACAGAATCAAAACATAACGGTCATAACGCAAAACCTAGTCTCCTAACATCACTGCAGCACTGAGATCATCTTAACTACTAGAGAGGAAGATCAAAGTGATGCTGCACCACCATCTAGCAATGATTTTGATGCTACACTGTTGTTGGGAAATCAGAATAACAAACGTTCATAAAAATTCACAAAAATTCATTTTCATTTAAATAGTATTTTAGGCTTTAAGCTCGAAACCTTTGATAAAGTTTGATAAGACCTTTGATTTAAGGTTTAGGGTGTGGTACATGTGTGGAGGCTTGTTGGTGCAGGGTTGGTGTTTCAGTGTCTGTAGGCTGTCTGTTGTGTCAGGAATGTATGGATCATTTATCCTGTACTTTCTCTACTCATCTAAGATCTAAAAGAGACCAAGTCTGATGAGAGTTGCTGTATTTCTGAGTTGGGGGGGGGGTGGATAGTTTTGTATTGATATCTTGATAGGAAAGATAAAAAGCAAGTAAAAACTCTGGATCACAAAAAACCAAGGTGAGGTTAAGCCGTGTACATTCCAGATGGCAATATGAGACGCATTAAGGTGCTCGTGTAAAAAAATAATTGTCTAAAATGATTTCATTTAAAAAAGTAACGTGATCCTCTTAAAATGAGACTTTTTAATGTGTGATTCTACAACAGACTGGTCTCTTTATACTAACACACAGGCCACAGTCAGACACAACACAGGTGAAAGTTGTCCACGAGCGACTTTTACCGTAATTCATCCTTCGCCTCGGCTATGATGCGCTGCAGCTCTTCTTTGCTCAGCTCCACCTTAAACAGAGAGGAAAACCGATACTGGTCAGATACGTCTACTTCTAATGGATAGATTTACTGATTTAGGTCAGTAACTGTGGAATATGAACATTATTCCAGAAGGATGCAGTTTCAGAATCTTAAATAACGTTCTACATAATCCTGAACAATTTTTTTTTTTTTCCAAAGCTGCAATTTTTATTATACTTTACATCATTCAACACTGGAGAAATTAATAACACTGCCAGCAAACAGGTAGTTTGAAATACTACACCGGAGGTCACTAATAAGCGGACCGCAGTCCGAGTCCGGACACAGACGCTGTCCTATGCGGACCTGGACCTGTAACCGATAAACTATTTAATTTTGATGGGGTGGTCCTATTTTAATTGGCGTAACTTTTCTAGCCTTTACAGTGCCGCTTTAACGGCCCGGGAGACTCACAGACCAATCAGATGTGTTGTAAATATCACATGTGACTCTACTCAGCCAATCAGATCTGTGCATTACGATGAGCACTGAGACTCGAGTGAGGGACGCCACACAGGGGAGGGACGAGGCGGGAAACAGCAGTCAGAGAAGAAAGTGAGTCAGAGGGAACTTATTTCACATGGCGTGATCTAAAAAGAAAAAACTGACATAAAAGTTGAAATATGACTGAACTGTACTTTATTTGGTTTGATATTCAGTTGTTGACTGTATAAGATGTTGATATACCTACTAAGCTACTTCAGTAAACAGTATATGGCACTGAATCATAATGCAAGTTAGACATTATGATGTTTTGAACCTTCGCTTGAGCAAATTTTCTCTATGAGTTTTAATTAAAGACCCCTGTACTACACTGTACAAACCTCCAGCCTGGAAAACTCATGTGCTGGTCTCCTTGAGCAAAAACAGCCTTGAAGCTTAATTTACAATGTATTATTTAATTTGCCGTCTCAATATTGATCAGAAATATCTCAATTAGATAACCTATATTACCCCAAATTGTTCAGCCATATTTCTACATGGGCTTAAACAAAAAAGTGAAAGAAGCTTTTGTGGAATGTTATATATGAACATTCTCTCTCTCTCAAACATAGCTTTTAAATTTAGAAATATAGATTATCTGAATCTTTTCCTAAAAGTGTGATTCAATGATTTCAGAACTGCTCAAACTCATAAAAAACTGACTGACTGTAATCTCTCTGAATTTACTGTATGGCTTCATAAACATCTCTAATAAAGCAGATAAACACTAATTTATTCATTTTATTCTTTAATGAGCAAAAATCCATATACATAAACATAAACACTGGAAGTCTGAGCCACTGACTGTTTTATAGATTAACCTAAACAATGTGAAATGACTGCCTGTTGAAAAAACACTGAGAATGTGCGGCCTGTCTGATGTGTGTGTTTATGTTTTTATATATATATATATATATATATATATATATATATATATATATATTTGCGTTGTTCTTGAACAATAAAAATACACGAGGAAGCAAAATTATGAGGATATGAGCAGCCAGAGAGCACAATAACTGCCTGTCAGTCTCAGAACGAACCCCAGAATAACAGGCAGGTCACTCAGCTCAGCTGACTGGACTTCAGTCTGTCACTCACTTTATCCGGCGTTTCTTTGGAAGCTCCTCTCTTCACCCACCCGACACAGGTGATCTGGGAGCTCATGACCGCGGCGGCCGGTTTGGTTTAATATTTATTTTTCAGTCTTTTCGCGTTTCAACAGCTGCGCTGCCTAAGCTGCAAACCACGTGGGCTCTCCGGGGCTCTTCTACAGCCTGACTCGGAGTGATGACGTACGCGCCCCGCCATAAAAGAAGTCTTTTTGTTTGTTTGTTTGTTTTTTTTTATTTCAAGCATAAAATCATTGAAAAGCTTTAACGCAGCAGCGGGTTTACAGTATTTCTTATTTTACTGCTGGCGCCAGTTCACTAATGTAGAAATGTAATTACACAGATCTGTGGGTACAAACGTGATGTATGAAGGTATTTTTCTGGCAAATTTCCATAAAAGAAGTCTTTCTCTTCTAAAACAACCGTCCCTTCAAAATTCTGGTATTTGCAAAAAACGACTGCAGAAATAAAGTCTAGATTTAAGCAACAAGATAAGACACAAATAAGCAAAGTGAATTCTTCCGAGCTCGACTGAATTATTATTATTATTATTATTATTATTATTATCATTATTATTGTTGTTGTTGTTGTTGTTTTTAATTCAATCAGTATGAAAAAGGCTTTGTGCAGCAACTTTGATAACCAGAGCAGCAACAATCCGTTCAACAATCAGAATAAGATCTTACATAAAACTGATTACGGGGTACACAAGGGAAAAAAAAATTAAAAAATAATAAACAAAAACGCAAGGCATTAATATTATATGTACAAATGTAATATAAAAAATATTAAGCACGGTTTAATGGCATTTTTACTACACATAATTTTAAAGATTTGTGAAACAAAGCCAAATCATTCGGGAAGGCTAACCAACTGGGAGAGTTTTTAAAGGTTCTGTATTTATGTGTTTAGTATTTAGCTACAATTATAATATTGTTAATTATAGATTCTGCCGTGGTGTTGACTGAATTAGCTGTCAGCTTTGACAAAGATTATAAAAGGCAAACCTATTCAAGTCAAAGGAGCGAAAAAGGGGTTCAGTTCTGGTCTGCTTAAGTCTTGCGTCACCCGCTTCGCCCCGCCCCCGTCTCCCGGGGCAACAGCAGCAGCCTGTGCTGAGAGACCGAGCAAAGCTGAACAAACACGAAACAAAACAGGTTTTTTTCTTTAAATCAGCTCATCTGAAAATGTTTGTTTGGGCACAAAATACTCACCAGAACCCAACAGTCACAAAATTGGCCACAACCTCGCTGTAACTTAAAAGGGGGGGAATATAATCGCTAAGGTTTGGTGAAACGTCAGAATTTCCCGCTTGTGTGAACGGAGGCTCGAGTCTCTGTTGTCTGCTTAAGGGGGGAATGAGTCCCCCCTCCCACTCTCCAAAACCACGTGACGGCGTTCCCTGAAATATTTTCACATGGCGACTCTTGGCTTCGTAAATCCTCTTTGGCTTTGACCGTTACAGACAGAACGCTCAGTAAAATACTCTGCTATTCTTTTGGTAGCTGCTGTGATTTTATCGTCGCAAATTGACCGTTTTACAAAAAATCCAGCTTTAAATGATTTTTAATCTGTAATTAAAACCGTCTCTGTGGTGATTCGTAACGTTTTAAACTCGACCAGCAGAGGGCGTAGTTCTGCACTTTCACTTACGTTAAAAAACGCACAATAATGGGGAGGCGGGTAGTAGAGGAACATCCATCAATCATATAAGCTGCTTATCCTTCTGGGTAGCGGGGGCTGCTGGAGCCTATAGAAAATGGTTCTAGAAAGAACCATGAACACATAAAGAACCCATTGCATGATTAAAGAGCTCTTAAGAATGTGCGGTAGATGGTTCTACATAAAAAGGGTTCTATATAGCACCCAAAAGGGTTCTTCTATTGTTGCAATATCAAGCTTGTAACAATAGAAGAACCCTTTTTGGTTCTATATAGAACTCTTTTCAAAACGGTTCTGTGTAGAACCACCTACAGCACATTCTCCATCAACCTGAAGAACCATTTCACCAGGCAGAGAACAATTTAATCATGCAAAGGGTTCTTTGAGTGTTCATGGCTCTTTATAGAACCATTTTCTTTACAAAGGAACCCTTGAAGAACCATCTTTTTTTTAAGAGTGTACCTACTACAGTACTACTACTACAATGCTCATCACACAGTAACCACTAGATGGCACTAGATCGCTAGTTACCACAGTTATACCCACACCGGGAATTTGGTGCCAGCAACACGTTCCAAAAAAGTCGGGACGGGGGCAACAAAAGGCTGGTAAAGATGTGTAATGCTAAAAAACAACACCTGGTGGTTGATTGACAACAGGTCAGTAACATGATTGGGTCTAAAGAGCATCTCAGAGAGGCGGAGTCTTTCAGAAGTAAAGATGAGGAGGGGTTCACCACTCTATGAAAGACTGCACCATCAAATAGTGCAACAATTCAAGAATAAAGTTTCTCAACATAAAATAGCAAAGAACTTTTGCTTTTCATCATCTACAGTACATAATATCATTAAAAGATTCAGAGAATCTGGAGAAATCTCTGTATGTAAGGGACAAGGCCAAAAACCAGTATTTACTGGCCGTGATCTTCAGGCAGCACTGGGTTAAAAACGGAGGTGCCCTGCTAAACCTGAGCCCAGAGCAGCCTAAAGCATCTAGCTGAACTCACAGCGCAGCCCAGTGCAGAGGTTGGTGAGGGAAGTGAGGAACTCGGCCCACTGTCTGGCAGAGACTCAGACACCCTGACCCTCAGGGATGACTCAGAGGATGGACACACGTCTGAGGAGGAAATGAATAACGCCGGCCTCGACACCGGGAAAGCGACAAATTCCGCAGAAGATGACCTGAAGGTGAGGCTGAAGGTCCCACAGTGAAAACAGACCCATTAAAAACACAGTGAAGTATTTACACTTTAGATATTTACCAGGATTATAAACCAGGATTATGATCAGGAGCCGTATTACAGGAACTTCCTGTCTTTTTGCCTTAACTTAAGATCTGACAGGTCCAGATAAGATTTGTCACAGATTCGTATTACAGAAGCAAATCTGACCTTAATTTAGGAATCTTATCTTATCTCAGGTTAGGAAATCTTAACCTACTCGATTGAACTCGACAATCAACTGTTGTGTCTGTTACCTAGCAACCAAGCATACGCACACAGCCGAAACGTAAACACTTAATCAAGTTAGTTAGTCAGACAGCTAACGTTAGCTACCGTTACTGATCTAAAAAAGGTCAAATAAAACTAAAGTGTGATAAACTGTAGGTTGTGAATACTGTGAGAGCGCCCCCTGCTGTTTATCAGAGCATCGCCATTCTCAGTTTCAGTCTCCGTTTCCCAAACGCTTTAGCCGAGCGCGCTAACGTTACTCCTCCTAATAAACAGACACACGTTCAGCTCCGTCTCCTCATTATTCACCACCACCACTGTAATATTTCATCATCAACATTAACACACGAAGGTGATCAGAGGGGCGGTGGAGATCGAGTCTGCAGCGTCTGAGATCTTTAAAACGCAGAGTTAGAAAAGAAAATCATCTCACAGTGAAAGCAGCGTTTTACAGTGTAGATAGATGCGTCACTATGCTGGTTATAGTGAACTGTGCTGTGTCACTGCATAAAACAATAGAAACGGACCTTAAACAGAAGTTCAGACGCTCTGGAGTTTTTCTTGAAGTTAAGAACATATTTAGGATATTTTGGAAACTTAGAAATAAGATCAGATTATAGATATAAGATCTGTTGTTCTGTAATGGCTTCTGTCCTAAAATCAGTCTTAACTGAAGTTGCCATGACAACAAAGCAGATCTCAGACTTAAGAGCTTTCTGTAATACGGCCCCTGATCTGTTTAAACCCAATGCATTAATAGAGACAGTCATATGCCAAATACATACACAATCATCAATTACAGGGTACTTTCTATTGGGAGGTGTCTGTCCCAAACCCAAACCCCTAAATTTACACTTTTTTCCCAATTTTTTCAAGATTTTAAAAGATTTTTTGTATTTCTTTTAAAGATGAAAGATTTTGATTTATGAAGAAATTAACTTTAAACAAAAAGCTTCTAAAAAATTAATTCTAAAAATGCTGTCCCAAGGTTTAAAGTCATTACTGAAACACAAAGAGTTTTACTATGTGGGCGGAGCCTTATTTTAGCCACACCCCTACACTTTAGATCAGGTAGTGAGGCTGTTTCCCTGTCCCTCATGGCCACATGGTGAGCAGTGAGATCCCATTGTTTTGAAGTAAATGTGTCCCAAAGTCTGAAAATCAGTGTGGAGTGTGAAGAGTCAACCAATATACCAGTAAACGAGTCCCGTACCCTGAACGTCTGGGACCACCGGAGCTCTGCACTTTATTTCTGCTTAGAGTGATGGAATTTTTCAGTTTGGCTCAGTAGAATCAGAGCAATCCTGTATTCAGCCTTTGTTTGTTTGTTGTTTGATTTTGTGATTAGTTGTGAAGCTGTGAAACGAAGCTATTTCTTGATTTAGTGATTGATCCAATGAAACGATATATCAAATATCAAATGAACCGAAGGTACACAGACCCCACGGACCTACACTGACCCAAATTATGATGTGGAATTATGTTCCATTTTGGGCCAGTTCAACAAAATTCTAATACTTTATCATTTTACGTCACCCAGAGTGGACAACGAGAGAAACGACAACGTAAGGGAAGAGGAGGAATTTGGATCAATGCAGAGCAGAAAGAAAGGAGCAAAGAACACCAACTCAGATGTCTTTACAGTGGTGCTGATGGGAACCAGGGGCCGTATTACAGAAAACTCTTAAGTCTGAGATCTGCTTTGTTGTCATGGCAACTTAAGTTAAGACTGATTTTAGGACAGAGGCCATTACAGAACAACAGATCTTAAGTCTGTAATCTGATCTTATTTCCAGATAAGAAAACGGTTTTACAGAAACATCCTAAGTTTCCAAAATATCCTAAATATGTTCTTAACTTTAAGATAAACTCCAGAGTGTCTGAACTTCTGTTTAACCGTCTGATTCTACTGTTTTATGCAGTGACACAGCTCAGTCCACTATAACCAGCATAGTGACGCATCTATCTACACTGAAAACGGAGCTTTGACTGAGTTTTTTTCTAACAGCGTTTAAAACCCCAGACGCTGCAGACTCGACCTCCACCGCCCCTCTGA